CGAGTCCCGCATCGGGCTCCCTGCTCGGCAGCGAGCCTGCTTCTTCCTCTGACCCTCCCCCCTCTCATGTGCTCTCTCTCTCTCTCATTCTGTCTCAAATAAATAAAAAATCTTTAAAAAAAAAAAAAAAAAGATACCAGGAACTGTTGAGAGTGGATAGCTTTGGGGAGTTATGAAAATAGAGTGGAGGATGGGAACTTCCCTTTACCTAAACAGTTCAGAAGGGCATGTACAATTTTTTATATTGAGGGTATATCACTTTTATAATACAAATTTTAAGAGGCATAGCATGTTAGGGAACCTCAGATGATCAAAAATTGAATTCTGAAAAAAAAATTGAATTCTGGTCAAACTCCTTTTTAAAAACTGAGGAAACTAAGGCTCACAGTGATGGTTATTTGTAGCTCACAGAGTGGCAAAGCCAAGACTGAAGCACAGGCCTCCTGACTTATATCCAGTGCTTTCCATATATCATTTTGTCTCTGCCATAATGAACATTTTTTACATTTGCCTCATAACCATCTGGCTCTCTTAAATGATTGTTGAAATAATAATTCCCAAAAAAGAGCAGGGAACATATTTTTATATGTTTTATATGTTTATATATTTTATATGTTATATGTTATCAGTAGTTTTTAAAAGCTTTTCAAAAATCTGATTTCTAACAGAAAGCCAGAGTTGAAGACCAGAGCCCCAAAGGAAAGAGTGATTAATGCTGAACCTATGGGAAGACCTTTCCCACCTGATTGGGATTTCACTGAGTGGATAGGCACAGTAGGCTTTTCCTTAAATGTTAGTAGGTCTAATAGAATAGAATATTTATCTTCCCTTGGAGCCATTACACTACATGTGTGTTTAGCCTATTTGATCTACCAATTCTGTGTGTTATTGGTAGGTCTCATAAATGTCTCTCATGCTAAGGTTAAATCAGAATAATGATTGACTATGCAACTTTGAAAGCTATCTAGTTTTTTTTTTTTCCATAAGAACATGTTTCAAAGTACTAAGTACTTTTCTATACTTCTCCAAAAAACTTCTAATTTTTTGCCCCAAACGAAAATAAGTGAATTACATTGTTTTGCCAATCAAAGGTGAATATTATAGTTGGCCCTTGAACAACACAGGGGTTAGGGGTGCCAGCCCCCATGCGAGAGAACATTTGAGTATCATTTTTTACTCCCCCTGAACCGTAACTGCTAATAGCCTACTGTTGACTGGAAGCCTTACCAATAATATAAAGTCAATTTTAACAATTTTGTATGTATTCTATACTATATTCTTACAATAAAGTAAGCTAGAGAAAAGAAAATGTTACGGAGAAAATCATAAGAGTGGTGCCTGGGTGGCTCCATCGGGTAAGTGTCTGCCTTCGGCTCAGTCCCAGGATCCTGGGATCATGACCTAAGCCGAAAGGCAGACACTTAACCGACAGAATATCCAGAAATAATACTTACTTTCACAACTGGGTAATTTATATCTAAGATGCATGTAAAAAATTTACTTAATTGATTTATTTTTTTGTAGTTGAGCAGTGTGCTAATTTCCAAATAAAATTCTAAGAATTATTAGGATATATATATAGAAAACATTCTTCCCTTGAGAGGTTAATTCTTTCCTTTCCTGAAAAATCATGTTTTGATATTTTTTCATTTTAAAGATTTTGTCAGAGAGAGAGAGAACACAAGCAGGAAGAAGGCAGGCAGAGGGGGAAGCAGGCTCCCCACTGAGCAAGGAACCCAATGCGGGACTCAGTCCCAGGACTCTGGGGTCATGACCTGAGCCGAGGACAGATGCCTAACCAACTGAGCCACCCAGGCGTTCCAGATACTTTTTCATTTAAAAAAAGTCA